CACCTTTTTTTTGAGAGCACGTTGAGCTGTAAATATTTTGTGTACTCGCCATGTTTTGCTGAATAATGCACCAAAAGCCAACGAAAATGCAATTGCCAGGACATACAGACGGACCTGCATAAAAATATTAATATATATACAGGTATTCAAAACTATAAATATTTTTGTATTATTTATAGCACATTTAAAAAACTGGCTTGATTTCACACAAAATAATAAATACCCAAATGGCAATTTGTTGGTAGGTTCGATCAAATTAATCATTTAGCTTATTTTTCGTAAAGAGTTTTATTATGAGGTTCTACAGACCTGCAATGACGCAATGTTAACACAATTTTGGCGTATAGTGGCAACACCAAGAAGTTTAGAGTGTATATACAATGCAGTATAAATTAAAAAGCACCATTGTGTATTTCATTACTTAAATCCTTCTTCAAGCTTCATTGCAAGTTTGTTTATTGATAAGGTGCTGCATCGGTGCTCACTGCTCAGTGATTTTATCGCGCAGATAATGGAATTGTAAATTTAATATCCTGGCTTACGTTGCATAAAATTCCAAAGACGTGATCATCAACGAATCTTGAATCAATTCCCAACAAGAAAACGAAAACATAACAAAAGACACAACCAAGTAGAACGACATTGTTTATCATTGGAGATGACATTCGAACCACTCTGGCAGAAAAAAATACTATATACTATAGTTGCACTTTTAGCAACTGAATGCTTCTGGTTAGGGCCTATAGTTGCATTTTTCTTTTCATCTCATAATGAGATCTATACAGTTGGTTATGGCTCTCAAGCAAGATTAATAACTTACTTGTGACTTCTTTTGCTGATATTGAAATAAAGAAAGCCCAGAGAATAGATCAGACCAAGAAGAACAAAAACACCAATAATGATCAACTGCACCAAAGAATAAGTCAAAACTTTACGTTCTTTGCTTGTCTCGTCAACTGGAACTTTACCGTCTGAAATTACATATAGCTAATATTGATAAACTTTAACAATTATAATTAGTTTGGTGTGAAATCTGGCAGACATGTAAATATTAACGTCTGAATTTCTCCGACTAAAAGTAAACATTTATCGATGGTACTTGGCGGCAGTTATTTCGGCATGGATATATTCAACACCGAAATGAAGTTTGTGGATTCATGGTGAAACACAGGAAATGTTGTAAGGGAACTTTATCACAGCATAAAAAGCAAAAAAAGAACTGAGGTTTCGAATTTTGAAGGAAAGACGTCGTTGGCCTACTCTTACAAGAGTATTTCCACGTTTCTGGCGTCCCTTGAGTACAGACAAGGATGGATCCACTTTGCAACTTTTATATCTTCCATGACACAGAGTAGATAAGACATACAGAGACGTAACTGACCGTTGTAAACACTGTGAAAGATTACGTTATCATGTACCCACTTTTTTTCTGGCGACCGGGCGAAAAATGATCAACTGCGCATGCTCAGCAAGTTTAAAGTGAGTCGTCATCAGGTCGTCATCCAATCAGATGCATGCATCTAGTAACTTGCCGAGCGCGCGCACAAAAAAGTGGGTACACTAGTTACGTCTCTGTATGTCTCTACTCTGTGTCCATGATGAAGATACTAGACTAAGATGTCGAACCGTTGTGTGGAAAACGTAGTTTCTTTCGTGGATTGTATGTTTTATTTAATCCAGAGCAGGCATTAAAATACGGAATTTTTACAAGGACACACTTTGCCTTCAGAGGCGTATTTTTAGTATAAATGCGCAGACTCACGAGAACGAGTGGTGAAGCGACAAGTTTAGCGTCGAAGACGCGAGCTTTTAAGGGTCTCTGAAATGGCATTTCCAGAGCTCTGAGAACAGAATTTGCAAAATCTTTGGCCATTTTGCGTGGATTACATTAATATATTTTCAGTTTAATATATTTTCAAGTACACACTTTTCAATGTACAATGGCACATTCGCCTTTTACAAGGACACAAAGTGTGTACAAGGACACGCTAGTTTAATGCCTGATCCAGAGTAACAAGAGAAAGTATGGAATGATGATGATAATCTTTGCAAATATTTCTCGTGAATTTCCTACGATTTGTACTCAAAACCCTGCCATGATGGTGTTTATAGTGAAGCCCAGCAAACTGCAAAGCTACAAAATAGAAGACCTTTGTTGAATTGTACCTCACCGTGCACAAATCCTTTGTCTCATGCAGCTTCATTAAATATTATTCACAGTGGTTGGACGTTTCAATTCATCTCAGCTATCGCTATTGGACGGTTACTAAATCATTTATACGAAAAGGCAATGAACTCAATCACCGTGATCGTGCACAAATTAACCGCATAAAGTCGAAAAAAAACAACACCCCAATGATTTCTGTTTAGTTTTCAGACCATCATATATTGATACATTATGCGACGACAAACCAACATGTCTATAACATTGGCAGTCTTCAGTGAAAAACCCATTAGTATTGACATGTTTTTCACAATTTGTATCGAAACTATGCCATTATGCGTACACAAATTCCCGCGGCGTTTATTCGGTTGTCTGGAAAACGCGTGCACGTACACGCGTACACGTACACGCGTACACGTACACGCGTACATGGAAAACGCGTACATGGAAAACGCGTACATGGAAAACGCGTACATGGAAAACGCGTACATGGAAAACGCGTACATGGAAAACGCGTACAATGTTTATTTGTAACGTTAATTAAAACTTGGTGATTTTATTGGAATCCAATAAAGAAACATTTAAAACTATGCACTGACGCTTACACTCTGATTATCTTTTATTTTAAATTGTTAAGACTTTCTTTAGCATATAGTTTATTTATCATTTATAGACCCGAAGCGAGAGGGATTCGGCGAAATATTACCCGAAGTGATGATATTTATTTAATATTTGAAATATCATCACTGAGGGTAATGTTTCGGCAAATCCCCCAAGGGTCTATAAATGATATATTATAGTGCTATTATGGTGCTATTATAAATGTTATATTATAGTAAAAGACACCACTATAATAAGTTCAGAATAAACTTTAAAACTTGCTGAATATTAACTATAAAGCGAATACAATTTTTAATTTCTTATGTACCTGTGTTTTGACGTTTTCTCTTTAAGATATTTGAGCATGTATTCTTTGGATTATTGAAGGTAACGTACGTCTTAAAAATTTTTGGTTACAGTAAATCAATAAATCTGCATGTACGCGCCGGTACGAAATTACAAACAACAGCTCGCGAATGCCATGTTCTTTAAGAGCGTGCATGGTATCCTTTCGTCGTGTGTGAGCGTGAGATACTATAATATCCACCACAGTGGATCTCACGCTGCATTGCGAAATCATGAATTTGAGTGAAATACCGTAAAAAAACACATTGTCACGTGTTACGAATGCTGTTCTTTTATAGGACAATTTGAATTTGAAGTATAATATATTTTATTGCTTTTAGTTTACAGTTAACTATGTAGTTTTTTGCTGAATCGTGCACCATAATTTATTTCAATACATCAAAAATAATCCTGCCTCACAACTTGCCCTGGCAAAGTAGGATCATATAAATGTGTTCAGCCCC